CCACCAAATGGGTTTTAGATTGTTCCAACCTATGGTGCGCACCGCTTAGTCACCACCAAAATGTGACTAGTCCCAAATCCGCTGACGGCCGGGGGTTTTTTTTTTTGGTGTACCTCTGTGACCACCAGGCGGGTTAATTTATTCACCCTTTTTTCACTGATACACCTCCAGTCCTCCACAATTGTTAAAATGGGACAAGCGAACAATAAATATCAGTGAAAAGGTGATGCCATGGATCCAACATGGATCGGCACAGAGGCCAGAATAATTTATTAAAACGCGCAGCAATGAAGCCGAGACATGTTACAAGGCTCACAAAGGTATCCCCAATGGTTTTGGTGAGATATTTGACCGGCAGGAGGCCGATTTGGCAGGCAGTCCCAATTTGGGTAGGCAAACTTTTTATAACTCCTTCATTTTGAGCTCTAATAAAAATCCCTCTTGTAGAAAGATTGCTCTTGCCAAAAGGAGTCGTTTCACAAGAGGGATAAGAAATAGGATTTTTTTTGAAGGAGCAGTAACAGTTGTTAGAAAGTAGTGGTGTCTAAGCGGTGCGCACCATAGAACCGCTCTTCATGCATGGCAGCCACAAAATTTGAGAATCACGCGAAGCATATCACGATATTCAAGAGCCAGCATACACCCCGCTAGCATAGGGTATGCACCGACCTGCAATGTTATGGCTTTATGTATCTCACATTGGTCGGAGATCCCGTTCGACCCGGGAGTGGGGCATATGTGCTGCGAAGATGCACCTTTTTTCTATAGTGTATTTTGGGCATACGACTGATGTTTGGCCCTTAGGAGGGGGCCATACAACATACACACAGGAATATTTGGCCGTATACACCTGACAGAATGATGTCTTCCCCGCCGCCTTCATATGAGCGGTGATCCGCAATTGTCAGTGTAACACAAGGCCCGCAGGCAGACGGACTGCACCCACGTACTGTGTGTGACGAAAATAGTAGTCTTTGCGGGGAACCCCGTTCGATTCGGGGGCGGGTCATGATCGGGGAGCCCACGTTTTTTATTCTTCTTTTTTTGGGACGGCTGGATACCATTGGCGATGGAAGACGTGTAATTCAAACGAGCAGGTGTCCATCAGGGGAGCGTTGAGCATGTCCTCGGACTGCAAGATTGACTCAGGCCCCGCTGCGATGCAAAGGAGCTGAGAAGGAGACTCCGAGAAAGGACGATGCCCCGCTATGGCAGCCGACAAGAAAACAAGAGTCCGACATTATGGCTCGACCCCGAGTCGAACGGGTGTCCCGATTCACGCGCTCAGGAACGATTCGATGATACCGTAGTCAGGCGTGGCCCACCGCCATCGAGCCGATGTCAAGATGTATGTGTGCATGAGCTACTCGAGTAAGAATGTGGTGGTGGCTCAGCGCATCAAATCAACCGGATGACCACAGCGACGGGCCCGGAAGATGCAGAACAAAGAGATGTGTGCTTGATATAGTCACAACGAGGCATCCAGAAGACTTCATACAGAAATTGGAGGGTGGTGAAGCGAAGGGAAGGATGGACTATGTCGTTGCCGCCCCAGAGTCGCAGTATACAATATCCAGGAATTGCTCGGATATTCCTTTCCAGTGCCAGGCGTCAGAAGGGAGCCGATACAGACCAGCAAAGCAGATTGTGGGATGAGCGAGAAGCAAAAAGAGGTTCGAGTCAACTGTCGGGAATAGTGATGCCCAAGGCTTGGCCTGAAGCCCTCAAGCCCTCAAGCCAAGCCCGCTCAGGCCCGAGCCAAGCCAAGCCCGCCGTCGGGCTTTGACAGGGCCCAGGGCTCGGGCTTGAAATTTTTGAAGCCAAGCCAAGCCCGTAAGCCGTGGCCTGGGTACCGGGGGGTGAAACTAATGATATGCTCACATATAAGGCTCACCATTATTCTGCTTCGTCTCCAGAGTTGCAACCCAGAGTTGAAATCAACTTTTCGAGCTTTCTCAACTACCTCAGCGCCAACTCAGTGGACCTGTTGAGACGATGTCCCATCAGCCACTTGCGCCCGAACAAGAGAAATATGGCCAGAACTTACTCAAAACTCAAGAAACACACACAAGTGAGTACTCTGTACGCACATACAGCCTTGAGAGCTCACCGAATGTATCCCATAGTGCCTATCATTCCAAATAAAATCCAGTGTGCAAGCCCTGGCCTAAGCCCAGGCCAGGCCAGGCCAAGCCCTAACGGCGGGCTTGGGCTTGGGCCTGAGGATTTTCAAGCCCGAGCCCGCTCAAGCCAAGCCCAAGCCCTGGCTTTCAGGCCAAGCCAGGCCCTGGGCATCACTAGTCGGGAAAAGGCGACTAGGTCGTGGGACCCGAGAATCTGCGAAAATCTACGACCTCAACAGAAGTAACAGCAACAGGGTGGTTTCGTTTGATATGTCTCGAGGCTGGCAGAGGAATCTCAGGTGCCCAATGAAAACGACGAGGTGCATGTGGCTGTGTGACGCAATCTGATGAGTGACGTGTCATCAACCGGGCCGGCCACTCTTGCCTTTCGCCTCGACTCTCGTTCTCGCTTTGACTTGAATTGTGGCTCAGTGGACGTTCCAATGTCCCGTGGACAGAGTTAAAAATGCCTGCGGCACAGCAGCAAGCGGCAAGCTGGCGGCAACTTTCTGGTTCTCTCCTAGTTCTCCCAGCCTTTTTGAATCTGCGTTTGCCGGACGGTCTGGACCCGATCTTTGGCGCTCGCGCTCAAGTCTCCTCGTACTCAACGCTTACGCTCATCTCTGCTAAAGTATCCAGAGGATGCTAGATTCCCTGTCAACGTTATTCTCGGCGAATTCGAGGCTCAAGCTGTACGAACAAATGGACGATGAAACCGCCAATGATACTCGCTCCTTGTGTGTTGAGCAGTCTGCTCATCAGCGGCAGCAGCAATGCTCAGCAAGTTCGCACAGGCAACTCTCGATCGTGCAAATTACTGGGCTACCAGTTTATAGTGCAAGCACTCGAAGCAGTTTTTTTTGGACGTTGTGGCTGGGGTTAGTTTGTGGAACACACTGGACCGTTGCGATCTGGACCTTCATATTCCCATCCCTGCCTTTTCTTTCCAACTGCAGCTTGATTCCATCCACAAGACATCCGTTCCGCAAATCACGTCTTGGATCCGAGTACACCCAACGTCCCTCTAGTTTTCCGGGCCTCATACTCTACCCAGAAGGGATCTCCCGCGCACCTTCGTATCTGTGTATTTCAGTACACTAACGAGCCCCGCTAGCATATGGTATGCGCCGCCCTGTGATACGACTTTTCCAAGAGCGCGGCGGAGACTCCGTTCGATTCGGGGTGGGGCATGGTACAAAAACGCCGTCTCTGTTTTGCAGCCGAAGTTGTTCCAATGTCGAAACGCGCTGACTATTTTTACGCTTCGACCCACGTCTCCCCGTTCCGGTGGCGACATGTTCTCTACAACACAGTCACAACACAGGCGTCACTCTCTATGAGTGGACTGCACTACAGAGCATACCGTAGTATTTCGATGAAACGTACTATCGCGTCCTGCGGGCTTGCATCGTCGACGCACGCTCAACCATGGGTGTTGAATAGGTTCCTGTCCAACGTCGCTCCAGTTCTTCCGGGCCTCATAGCTTCCACGAAGTAACACCACAGGCACCTTCGTATCGGTGGTTCTCAGTACACCATGAGCCCCGCTAGCATATGGTATGCGCCGCCCTCTGATGCGCCCTTTAGTTCCATTGCGTCGGAAACCCCGTTCGATTCGGGAGTGGGGCATAATGCGACCAACGCGTCCCTTTTTTTGCCTGAGGCTTGACCAGATAGTCCTGTCACCGGGAACGGAAAGAAGATCTGACTGCTCGCTGGATTATCGCCTTTGACAGCAACAAAGAAAAAATGATTCCCGGATTCCTTCCATGCACCCGCCGGGAATCAAACCCGGTCAATATCTCTCTTTCACCCTGTAACCATCGATCTGTTGCGCGACGGGTGTGTGGTATTTTTCCTTCCAGGCTGCTATGTCGTAACACTGTCCGACTTTCAACTAGCTCTGGGCATGGATTGAATTCATGTGGATAGGACGACGGTCGGATGAGCAATTTTCGAGTAACACCATTTACCGTCAAGAACAAAAACGTCCTCTTCAACTTCTCTGCACATCGGAGCTTCGTATCCGGAAGACCCAACTTCACACTACATAGCCCCTCCGGCATACGATATGTGTCGACTTCGAATTCTACTGATGTGCTTGTTCAAGTCCATCGGTGACCCCGTTCGACCCGGGATAGACCGTGTATGCCGACCTACTTTTTTGTGAGGTTTGAGCATACCGTTCATAGCCGAATGGCTCACGGAAAAAAACGTACATTGACTGCCTTGGACTCCAATAGTTATTAGTGACAAAGCAAAAGAATGCAAGATTTCCAATGTCCATCCCATTATGCACTCGCCGACAGTCGAACCCGGTACCCGTTCAATACAATATCGTGTCCCGCGGTCTTGCGTCGTGGATGGGCGCTCAACGATGAGTGTTGAATATTCCCCAGGCCAGGGGTGGGCAGGACCGTTACGGGACAACGGACACACTTAAGTTTGGGTAACACCTCACAATGATAGAAAAAGAACCTATGCGCAGACAAAGGACAGACAAAGAATAGACAAAGGGCCCCCGCCCAGCATCCGCCAAATCCTGGGCCGTGGGATTTGGCGGATGCTGGGTGGGGGCCCTTTGTCTTTCCTTTGTCTATTCTTTGTACGCTCCTTGTCTTCGCAAGATCTCTTTGCTTATCTTTGTAATGTGTCACACGAAATGCAGTGGGAGTGATGGTCCGAGTGCCCCGACCGCATCCAAACTTGGGTGCGTCGGTCTTTGCCCCTGGTGTCAAGTCTCACAGGGCAGGAGAGACCGTCCTGGGATGGCAAAAATGCAGTGTTTCGGAAGTACGAGAGGGAAAATTGGAAACACCCACCCAACTGCACCGAACAGCCCGGGGGTCCGGGGCATACATCGTGCTCATTCGCCGTGGTTTTGTAGTGTAGCGGTTATCACTCCAGATTTTGAGTATCAACTTCTGGTAACCCCGGTTCGAACCCGGGCAAGACCTTGGGCCGAATGCGCGGATCTTTTTATTTTTTTATATGCTGTAGGTACCAAATATCTATATCGTGGAGGAACACACTGAGAAGTCCGCGGCGCGTCGAAGATTTAGAGGCCCCAACGAGGGTGAGCGTGATGAGGTCGCTCCTCAAGTCAAAGGCGTCAGGTGTTCTACTAATCTGAATCACGAGCCCTGCATAGGCGATGTGCATCAGACAAGTTTCTCCGAATGACCAGGTCGATGTGACAGATTCAAGTTAGCAACAGGCCCACCGGGAAAGCGGAATTGGAATGCAAAGAGCCGATAACACTTGATGGCAGAAACCACCGCCATTGGGACAAATTCCCCTCGCGGTGAAACGGGGTTCGATTCCCCGCTCCCGGACACTGAGTCTTCTTTCCCTCCACGGCGAGTTCTACGCATCGAGCAGTTTACTGGCAGAGCAAAAAATACGCACCAAAGTATGGCCTGCCCAAGTGAAACAGCTTCCCCAGCGAAGAAATACACTCGGTTGCAAGGGGATGGAAATCCTAACGACAGCGGAGCCGTGTTGAAATTCCCTAGTAGATATCATCCCAGGATGTTACGTGAATTGAACGCCGCGCAAGACCAGATCCTCAGCAAGCACATAATGACGGACAACAATGGGCGCTGCAGATGAGGTCAGCAGAGAAGGAAAACTGGGTCGAGTGACAAGGAAGGGACCCCTCATTCAGCCCAGTGGGTCTTCCACTTGATCTTTCTCTCGTCCACAAAAAATGTGGAACCTAATGAAAAGTTTCGGTCAGCTCATACATCTTACATAGTAGAATGATAGACGCACGATCAATTTCTCCCGTCTTGCGCTTCGCGATAAACGCATCGGCACGCGCCCAGTAGTCGTCACCCGTAAGCACACCTTGCTGCCAGTCCGCGGTGTAGTTCTGCACCATCATCATCATGAAGCGGGGATCGTTCGACAGCCTATCCATCGTGGGCGAGGGGCCGGGCTGAATTTTAAAAACTATGAGAGCACGGAGGGATTTGCAGTCTGATAAGACCATAGAGCAGATCCCGGGAATATCCATGCTCGGCAACGCCAGGTGCGTGAGTTTGGGGAGTTTGCCTAGAACTGTCCAGCGAGCGAGAATCTCGGACGAGGGTTCGTCGCGGCTCGGCGTCATGGGGGGGAAGAGCTCCAAGTGCGTGAGATTGGCGAAGCCCGCCGAGTTTGCTGGGTGCACTACGGCGAGAAAAATGCGGGGACTGGCGTACAGCTGCTTCAAGCTGTTGAATCCGCCGTGCGCAACAGTCGGGAATCCTCCGTGGAACATGAGGTACAGGTTCTCCATGTTAGGATAGGAATGCATGAGGGTAGTCATGTTCTCGTATTTGGATGTGGTGATCATTACATTGCGGACAGCATGGGCGAAGTTCGTGGAGCGGGGAAACTCTGTCGGTTCGCACAGGGGAATCCCATCGATCGTTTCGATCCCGACGACAACCGTACGGTGTAGAAGGGGCTCTACCCTGTATATCGTTTATTGTGAGGTGGTGATCGTGAATCCTTCGCTGCCCTTCCTCACCAATGCTTGACACGCCACGCGACACGCATCAGTTTCGGGATGCTTACTGGCCGGGAAAGAGCTGTGCACTCGAATATGCAACGTTCTAAGTCGGGTGGAAGAGCCGGGGCCATTGGAATGCGGGAGCCAGATGCGGACATGAGGGTTTGGGACAAGGAGCACCGGCAAATGCCGAGAGATGCAGCCGCAAATAAGCCCCTGTCTGATTGGCAAACTTTCGTTGGTCGCAAGAATGGACGACGACGAGGTAAAGAATCGATGATCAACCGCTAGAACGTGCATCGCGAAATACCGCGAGAGTCGTTCGTTCATTTGCCTGGATCAAACATCGACAGTGATCAGCTGAACGGACAGCCAAAGCAGGGATCTCTCATGGCTCGCAAACATTGACAGCGTCCTCGAAGGACGAACCAATCATCCAATCAACGAAAGTCTTCTTACCCGGCGATCAGCGTCAAATCGCGTTCGTTCTGGACTTCACTATTATCCCAAAACCCGAGCAACGAAATACAGACCGTTGCGTGCATTAAGGTATCTAACATACAGCCCAGTTAAACTCGTACAATACTTATTCGCAACTCAATTCGCGCCAAAGAACTCCTCCGCAACAAACTCCCAGATCGCCTGCGGCTTGTTAAACAGCTGCGGCGTGAACTGGTACTTCTTCGTCCCCTGCTCCCACACATACTCGAGGATCCCGTCCTGCGTGTCCACGTACGGGATCGCGTTGCGGAAGTTGAGGCTCAGATCCGCGTTGATGGGGAACGGCTGCGGCGTGCTGGGGGCGTCGCTGAGGCCCGCGAGCTGCAGCTCCCCGACGACGGAGCCGAAATCGGTCACCTCCGAGCCCTTCACGCCGCCGTCGAACTGCGAGGTCGTGGCGCTGGGCGTGCCGCCGAACACCGCGGAGCGGACGCCGTGCTTCTGGAAGAGGTACGAGCTGAACACGCTGCAGGTAGAGGCGCAAATGGAGTTGGCGACGAGCACGTAGTCGACGCCGTCGAGGGCGGGGGCGGTGAAATTGGTTACGTCCGACGCGGCGCCAAAGTCGTCGAAGAAGGGCTGCGAGTACGCGTCCTTGATGCCGTTGACGGACTTGGGCACCGGCGGGTCCATGAACTGACTGTTGTTCGTGAAGAGGTTGTAATTCAGCTGCGGCGAGCGGATCAACGTCGAAAACAAGTGCACGGAAACAAAGTAGCGAAACTCACATCGCGGTAGAACCCGTAGAAGTACTCGCTGTTCTGGTCTCCCGCACCCGCAGCCGCAGCGACGGACTCCTGGCGCGTCAACTCCGTATCACGCAGCACAGCAGGGAATCCGGGATACAGGTCCGTGGGGAACAAACTCCACAGCGCCACCGCGCCGGCGAAGATGTACCCGCCACGGTTGCCCGAGTTGTCGATGAGGATGTGCTTGACGCCGGCGGCCTTGAGCTTCGTGATGCCGTCGTAGAGCGTCGCGGAGATGCCGTTGATGTAGGTGTTGAAGTCCGTGCCGTCGCTGGGCTCGAACTGCTCGAAGTAGAGGACGCCGACGTGCGGGTGTGCGGCGAGCTGGTAGACGTCGAGGGTTGTGATGTGCCCGAACGAAGTCACTGGGTGGAGAGTCAACGTATGCGATAGCGAAAGGGGGGAAAGACGCACGGTTGGGTTGAACGTAATTGGCGGGCGCAGCGACGGATTTTGCGTCGCTGTTGCGGACGGGGCCCTGGTTATCGGGGCGTACGACGCCCTTCTTGCGGGTGATGAAGCTGGGAATAGAGTCCGCGCGTTCCTCCACGGTGCGCTTGCGTTGGAGAGAATCCGCAGCGGGGAGGTTGCAGGTCTGCGCGATGAAGGACGTGGTGGTGTTGCCAGTGCCGACAAAGGTCGCAGCCCAGGGCACAGTGAGGGTCTTGAGACCCTTGGACGTCTGAAGCAGCACGCTGACGGAGTCGGCGCCCGGGTAGAAGGCGCGCTGGCCGAAGCGGCCAACTTCTTGGGTGAAAGAGCCGGAAACCGTGTCTGGAATCGACGGTGAATATGCATGCCTTGGGAATCATACGGCAACTCACCAGCGGAATATCTCGACATGAGGCGCATGTACCGCGGGTTCACAGTCTCGTACGCGCCGACGAGACCCTTGTAGATGCTCGACTCGGTGGCGAGATCAACAAGGTACTGGGACGCATCGACGCCGTTGATGGCGATGATGCGCGCGCCGTCGTAGGGACGGACGTCGATACCAATGGACTTGAAGTATGCCTCGAGCCCCGTGCGGCCCTGCGCGGGAAAATCGTAATTCACAAGGAAGGTGGGGTACGCGGTGTGTGCGGTGGGGCTGGAAGCGAGGGTAGCGATGGAGAAGGGAAGATTGTAGCTGAAGGCCTCCGTGCACGCCGCAGAAAAGAGGGTATGGCCATCTGCTTCTCTGTTCCATGCGTCCGTGACCTATGTGGTGCATTGTCAGAGAAGAAGGAAAAGCAAGGATGTAACAACGCACCGCGACATTGAAGTCCCAATCAGTTTTGTAACCCGACGTGGAAGCCTTCTGTTGGACCGCTGCACTTCCCCGTCAGCGCAAAAGGTTAGCGAGTAAAAAGGGAACGCACCTCGCAACAGGGAGCTGATGTTCACGTCGTGGGGGATAAGCGGGTTTGGCGAGTGCTCAAACCAGGTCTCGAGCGAGTACCAGGGCAGCGCCTTGATATTCGAGTCCACGACGGCCAAGCTGCGCGTCTTGTTGAACGGAACGTTCAGCTCGCAAGCGTGCGCGGCTTTGCTCGACACCCAAGTGGAGGCTGAGGCGACGGTGCATGGGTCACTATCGTGTTTCTTCAGTAATGGTTGTGAAGCAAACGGGAGGAGACGTACGAGGCGGCGTGAGCCAGAGCCGCGGAGGCGGCCAACATAAGGAACGACGACAACATGGCCGCGGGGCGAAAATGAGTGGGGGGCGCAGGGTAGGTAGGTAGGTAGGTAGGTAGGATTACACGGCACGGTCCCACTGAGGAACGCCGGGGCCCAGGAGTTATCGAAATGTACATGCGCTAATATACATCGCTGCCCCTGGACTCCTCTGCAACACCAAAAGCCGAGCTCACGGACGCTATCTCACGACACGCCGCGGTAGAACCAAGGAACTGCAAAGAAGCAAAAAGAGTTAGCACAGAGGGGGAGCCCCAGACAGATCAAGTATAAACAGGAATAGCATAGACAGTTGAAGGACATCGTACGCAAGGCCGGGAGTTGAGCATGACTTCAGAGACTCTCTGTTAGAGTCCGCCACCAATCGGTATTTTACCCAGTTTCCCAGGTCACTTGCGGGCGGGTGTTCGTAATCCACGTAACGCAGAATTTCCAACGCGAGCTGGTGGGTAGACAACATACCGAGGTCAGTACCTTCGATGAGTCTGTGTTTTCACCATTCTCAGATTTGTGGAAGTAGTTTGCTTCGGTG